CTACTACTACCACACTACATATAGTATATATACTATATATATATATATATAATATATATATATATATATATATATATATATACACACACACACACGTACGGGTAATACTGCCCCTCAAACTCAAGATGCTTTGATACAAAGCAGCTCGAGTTTGAATTATAAGTGGCAAAAAAAGAACTGAGTTTGATCTTCAAGTCTTTAGGTGCAAAGCTTGATCGATAGAAGTAGTGGTCTCCATGCTCAGATTGCTTGAACAACAAGCAAAGATAGCGGCAGATCTCAAGAACAAACCGCCTCAAGAGCAGCCTCACAACCGGGATTGAGTAACAAAAAAACTCGATCAACATCAGACAAACAGGCCTTCGGAACATCCGGGATCGATAAATGCGATCATCAAACAGGAAGCCCATGGAAGAGTCAACAGAAATTAGCAGTGGATCAACAGTTAGACATTTTATTTGGAGTTGAGAACAGTAAAATTTAAAATACATCAGAGAGTCGAAACAAAACTCGACAGAGAGACAGATTAGAGAGTCAAAACACGACTTGGAAAAGAGAAATTAGAGAGTCAAAAACACGATTCGATAGAGAGAAATCAGATAGTCGAAAACACGACTCAATAGAGAGAAATCAGAGAGTCGAAAACACGACTCGGTAGAGAGAAATCAGAAAGTCAAAAACATAATTCGTTAGAGAGAAATTAGATAGTCGAAAACAATACTTGATGGCTGTTTTGCAGATGGTGCAGATTGGCCGGATTCAGAGGCAATTTTTAGAGGTGGATTTAGGGAAGGGTTTTAGATCCGAATCAACTAGGGTATGTCATAAAAGGGGAGGGCAGTAGCAAAGGTTTACAAAACAAAGAAGATTCAAACGTGAGGAGAGACTCATAGTTACCAGTTTCTCTCTCAAAATTTGAAAGAGCGAAAGAAAGAGATGGCTCCAAAGAAGTTGCTCAATGTTTAAACCATAATAGTGAGGGCTCCACCACCGCCAAACACTGGCTTTTTAATAGGACTAAACAAAGGCTGTCACCAACAAAAGAGAATGCTCTTTGCCCCTCAGACAGAAAAAGGGAAAATTAGTAAAAGGAAGTCATGGGCTTTGCGCCATATGAAAAGAGAATTACTGTGTTGCTGTAAGTTGGGAAAGATAAATAGATCAGAGAGAAAGAGATCAGTTAGAGAGAGAAAGAAGAAAGAGATCAATTAGAGAGAGAGAAGTGGGGCATCCAATGTGTAGAGAGAGAGATGAGTTTTTGTTTTGTTTTGAGAGAGAACGGGGAGATATTACTTTAATGGGTATCCAATGGAGAAATGGGACTTTGAAAGAGGCGTGGGATGAGAGAGAGAGTTGCGTCAAAGAAAGTTTGACGTATAGTTCAAACTTTAAACCTTGAAAAGAGATGTGTGTGTGAGAGAAAGCATCATCAAATAAAGTATGATGCACAGTTTAGAGAGAGAAAGCTTGCGGCAGTTTAGAGAGATAGCCGTTTGGAAAATATAAGAGGCAACGATGAGAGAGATCGAGAGATTTGAGAGTGGAGAGAGACCAAGAGATAAGAGAAAGAGATTTGAGAGATAAGAGAGATATGAGGTTGCGTGTTCGATTCATATCGGGTTCACCATTACCTGGCGCTTTGCAATTTGACCAACTAGACGATCTCCATTCTTTGCGTATGCCACAACAGAAGGTGTGGTCCTCTAGCCCTCAGCATTTGTAACAATTGTTGGCTTTCCACCCTTTATTGCTGCCACTGCTGAGTTTGTAGTACCTAGATCGATGCGGAGCACCTTCTCACATACAACTCTCAAAGGCACAAAACCAGAGTCTTTGTCCTTCCTCTTGCATCTAAGGTTTGGGGTTTTGCAAAAGCCATTATTTAGTTGTGTACCAAAAAATACAGGATTTTGGAGAGATTGTCGGACCCAACTTCTAGAGAGAGAGAGGAAGTAATATTTACACCTTAAAATACTAGGAAGAAATGTAGAGAGAGAACTAGATTTGTTAGCAGAGAGAGAAAGAGACTTCAAGCTTTGAAAGAGAGAGAGGAAGACGCAGATGAAATTTTCGGAACAAATATGATACAACAACAGGGCAGGCGGTCTTGAAATTTTCGGACCTCAGATCTGAGGTCACTGATAAGTCCATTGCTCTGATACCATGTGAGAAACTCTGAATATTGCGGGAACTCTCTGTATTCAATCGTTACTGATAATTACTAACTCGACACTTATAATTATGAAGAGATATATACCCATACGGATATGTATCCGTACAAATACGGATATATATATATATATATATACACACGGTAACACTACTAAAATTGTGTAACTCATAAGCTAGAAACAAAATCAGTGAGTACAAAATTATAATGTAAAAGAAAAAAAGCATAAAACATACATACAATAAGAGCATAAAGATTTATGTAGTTGACCCCAAGGGGCTCCATCCGTGTGCATTATAAAGTAAAATCCACTATGCTAATAATACTTGCATCGTAGATTTTTGAGATACAAAGTTTTCTCTCTAAAGTTACCTCTCTGACCTTCGACAAAACCTAGTCGAACAATCGTTTTAAACTAACTCTCCCTACTAACATCACCCAACGATGTACCATCTTTATTCCGTAGCTAAACTATTGTCCGTGAAGAGAATATTCAGAGCATAGACTTTCTCTGAAAATGGAAAACATGTAAATCTCCATGAGAACTGCTTCTTAATAAGAAACCGACCTCTCACTCTATAGGAGGTACTATCACAATATTTTTCTCTACAGGCAGCTCATTTCTCTCCATGTGGAGGCCTTGTCTCTTATGGACAAGGGGCCATTGCCTCTCTCTATCTTGAGAAAGCCATTTTTCTCATTCCTTATGTATAATGTAAAAAATCCTATAATAGATAAGAATTCTATACATGCCAAATATAACTCAAACTTCAGATGTAACCAATAATCTTAATCTAGTTGAACTTGAATGGGAGAACTAAATTGAAAAACTTATTGATATCAATATTAATATACATCCAATATAACATGGGATTTTCTTATGGGCGCGATTTTTGATATCACCATATCAAACATCTCTCTTTCTCAAAACTGGGGCTAGGGTTTTGGTTGTAGTACCACTTGAGCTCCAGAAAGAGATGGATAATTTGTCCAAGACAGATAGATAGAGAAAGAGATATGAATGAAAAACACTTATAAACACTCTTAAGCGAATTTCTACCGTATTTATCTCATGGCTCCTGACCACATAAAATCCATTATATGTTCACGGTTGTCTGATAGCATTCGAATTTTAATTAATGCTTCTACAAATCAAATTCATCTACAACTTGGAGCATGTACAAATATCTTTTTAAAATATTTTTTAAAAAATAAAATGTCAAAATACTCAACTGGGTTAATTTAGCTATTTTTATTATTTTGATTATTTTTATATTTGATTTAGGTGTGCCTCGCTAAGGCGCACACACCCACATAATTTTAGATTAAGTTGACTTATAAAAAATAATAAAATTTACACTATCAAAAAATTATGACTATTTGATGGATTTTGAATGGTGATAAGTTATGGGAGAAATACTGTAGAAATTCCCTCATGATTATTTCTTTGTGTGTGTGTGTGTGTGTATATATATATATATATATATATCGAGAGAGAGAGAGAGAGAGAGAGAGAGAGAGAGAGAGAGAGAGAGAGAGAGAGAGAGAGAGAGAGAGACGACGTACGTACGACGTACGTACGTACGTACGTACGTACGTACGTACGTACGTACGTACGTACGTACGTACGTAGTACGTAGTAGTA